GTGTGGTATGATGTAGTGTGGTGTGGTGTGGTATGGTGTAGGATGTGTGTGGTATGGTGTAATGCGGTTGGTTGTGGTGTGTTGTGTTGCAGTATGGTGTGAGTATGGTATAATACTTACATAATTGGTTGGATCTGATCCGGTGGGGCATCAAACATATTAGGGTTCAGATAAGCACTAACAGCTGACGACGTTACCAAAGCCACAGCTGCAATAGGAAGRCCAGCAATTCTCTGCCTTGACCTTATTTTCCTCTTCAACTTCTGATATTCCGCGAAACTTAAATCAAAAGTCTTCTTCACCTCCAAAGTGTCTGCCTTCGAATTCAAACCATCTCCCGAATCTTGGCTTTTGCATGAAGGCGACGACGAAAATGACCGCTCTGAGAACACAACAAYACACCTAGAACCTTTTAAAAACTCCTCGTTCAAGTGATTTTKGAGAAAAGTCTGTCGTTTTGGTAATAAAAAAGAAAAAGTTCGCAACGTGCGAACATTTCTGACACCGAAAGCCGCCATCTTGGAAGACACATTACCCAGCATGCATCTGGTTTTGTTAGTAACCCGCTGATTAATACTTCTCGCGGGCGTCTAATTCATCCACAGGAAGCCCACGCGAGGTAGTCATTTCCTTTATAAAATCCAACACATGCTCTGTTCCATTCTACTTTTATGATATAAACATCTCTACACATCCCAGCCTTGATTTCCACCCTTTTACATCTGAAACCATGGCTAGTGCTCCTCGTTGGCTTCCACTCGAGTCCAACCCAGATGTAAGATTAATTTTTTACTTCACCTTTCTTGGCCTTTCAGTCAAATTCCATTTTTTTTCATTCTTCTCTTTTTCCTTCCTTCATTCTGGATTTTTTTCCTCGTCTTTCAAGGTTATGAACAAGGTAAGCTAAGAATGTTCTATGTTTATCGTTTCTTTTTACCCCTTTTTCACATATTTTATGCACAAATAGCTTAAAATATTGTACTTTTTTGTACACCATAAATAATCGTCTTGGAGTCGGAATACAAATATTTGACAGCTTAGCTTCACTTCTCCTATAAAAAGATAGAAAATGCAGACGACTTAAATTATGAAATTCCTCGTATGAAGGCGTGAAAGGCATGAAAATGCGTAAAGTTAATCTACAATTTGAACATGAACAGTTACAATGTCAATGTTGTTAAAAATCTGTGAGAATACCACAAACTGCTTTGGAACCTTCATCAGCTAGTTCTTCTAAGTTCACACACGCCTTCAGACTACATTTAAAACCAGACACACCTTTTCTTCTTGAAGCTTAGCAATGTTTATTTTTTCAAGTAAGGCAGGTTTTATAGATACATTTATCAACATTTAATATTTAATTGAAGATTAATTGTCAGGCTAAAGTCTAATCGTAATATTTTCCTAATAAATATTTAATTAGTAATTTTCAATAGATTTGTAAATTAGATAGATTATTTAATTTAGGCAAAAGGTTCTTATTTATTTCTCGTCCAGTAGCCTTCTGACCTGGGTAGAAGAGGATCTCTGCTCACAGGGAAGTACAAGGGCAGATCCAGCCAAACTTTTAGGGGAGGGGGACTAATCAAGTTTCTTTTGTCAACACAACGGAAAATGATTWAAAAAAATCTAATTTTTCAGTTTTGTTTTGTTTTGCTTTTTTCTGCTGAAGGGGGGATTCAGCCTCCCTTCCCCCCCCCCCCCCCCATCCACCCTTGAAGTATGTACTTCAAACCTTGGGTTAAGTTTTTCCCTAGCTATCCACACATCCAGGCAATAACCTCTGTATAGTATTTCACTTAGCTAGGCATATATATCTTATTGAATTTTCTTTTTTGTAGTTTGTCAGAAATCTAGGTTTGAAGGAGAAATATAGCTTTGTAGATGTGTTTGGTTTCGATGATGACTTGTTATGCATGGTACCACAACCAGTGTATGCACTGTTGCTCTTGTTCCCGAGCAGTGAAARGGTTAGTGTGTTAAGATATAAACCTGGTATTGCCTAGGCAAGGGACCATTCAATTTTTACCAGGAAGGGGGAAGGGTGGGAGGTAGGGGGGTCATAAGAAATCAGGGTCAATAAGATGGGGGGAGGGGGAGGGGCAAATGAAAAAATCTGAGTCACACAGCAGTTTTACTATAAACAGAATAGAATCGAAAACAAGAGAGGGACTGTTTTTTAATGCAATGACAGAAAGAGGGGTCAGATTTGATTTTGTCCCAAGTGAGATCCATGAAATTCATTTTGACAGACAAACATTGCCAATCATGAGAAGGATAATATACTATATATTCAATTGCTTGGTATAACATTCATCTTCAGTGTGACTCCAAGGATTGGACTCTCCCGCGACAGAAGTTGACAAGGGCTCGTACCAATTTGACCACATTCAGGGTTCTGGGAACCAATATTTAAAACATTCTAATGCAATCTCTGGTTAATATGAAATAATGCTTCTTCATCTTGTTCTAGTCTGAGAAATTCAGGAGTGAAGAATCAGAAAAGATAAAGAAAGATGGTCAGGTAAGTCTTGTTTTTTTTACATCTTTTTATATATATATATTTGAGGCTAGAAGYGTAGTGTCAAAATTTTGGTCATTGTCTTTACTGGGGAGGGGTGAGTGGGGCCGGTATTCAAAAGCAGTAATTTCTCAGTTACCACGTCTGTTCCCACTCTGGATGCATAAATGCAACCAATTAGTGTTCAATGTACTATTATCTTGAATAGGAAGTGAGTTCTAGTGTATATTACATGAAACAGACGGTCCAAAATGCCTGTGGTACTGTTGCAATTATTCATTCTATTGCTAACAATGTGGATGAACTAGAACTAGGTATGTACACTTTATTACTGGTTTTCATGCATTAATGCAGAGATTTTGCACCTTCACCTGATGATAGGTAACCACAGCCAGCCCAAGTATGGCCACCTGATGGTGCAAAACCTCTATACTCAAATTTTAAATAATTTATGCAAAATAAAATTGAGTGGAGTTTAGTTTATAATGGTATTGAAAATGACTGATATTGAATGTGGTGTTATATAGAGGATTGTAACTTAAAGACATTTATTGAGTCAACAAAAGCTTTAACACCAGACAAGAAGGCAGAGGAGCTGGAAAAGAATCAGGTTTGTAATAGACCTGTTTCGAATTTCAAAATACCGCTGTGTTTCTTGATTACAGACTCATTTGCACAGGGTTAGCCTCGAGTTTGTGCAGAATATTCACGTGTTCCAGTCAAGGTCCGTCGAGTTTCAAAGTGTTTGTATTGTTGAAGTTGTGCATTCTTTACTTTACCTTTGGTATTTGTGAATATTTAAACACTGATACGAGGCTAACCCTGTGCAATTGAGTCTGTAATCAAGGAACACAGCGGTAATTTGGAATTCGAAATGGGTCTATTTAGTAAATGCTTTTTCAAGCACTCAGCTAATAATATAACGTATCAATTGGTGTTTTGCATTCATGTATGGTTTATTTTACAGAGCATTTCAACTGCACATGAAGCTAGTGCACAGGAAGGACAGACGGAGGTATGACTTTTGCAGAAATCTTGTGAATGAATGGGTGTAGTAGGTAGTATAAGATAGAATGGATATATGATTCAAATAGGTTCAATGTATAGATGGTATAGGATGGGATGGATGAATGAAATAGGATGATTGAATAGGTGGTATTGGATGAGATCGATGGATGGAATAGGATGGGTGGGATAGAATGAATGGATTAATTGATTGGAAGATGAGTAAATTGGAATAGAATGGACATATGAAATAGGATGAATGAATATGTAGTTGGCTGGATGGATGAAATGAATGGACTAAATATCAATATTTAGCTGCATCATATTAATTGATTAAACCTTGTTGGCTTAAATAAATATTCAGACACCTTCCATTGATGATGAAGTGAACCTTCATTTTGTGGCCTTGGTACAAAAAGATGGCTGTATCTATGAGCTTGGTACGTACTCACAGGATATGTTATTAACCTTGTCATCCATTGCCAGAGGTTTTTTTTAAAATAATCATTCTTTTCAAATATATATTTCTTAGATGGGAGGAAAGAATTCCCAATTAATCATGGAAAATCTTCACCTGAGACCTTCCTGAAGGTGAGTCTATTACTAGACAAGTGGTTTTTGGGTGGTGTAAAACATAGGTTTCACTGCTGTGGTTCCAGGGGGGTCTTGGTTTACATACCAACAGCGAGCTGAGTTTGTGATAGATGATGCTGCAAAGGCTCTATATACTATAGAGTGAGTGTAGAGCCATCTACCATGGAAGGACCTCTATAGGTAGTACACAGGAGTAAAAACTAGAGAGATTGTTTATAAGTCATATTATTTTATGCTAGGATGGTRCTAGGGTCTGCAAGGAGTTTATGGCAAGAGATCCAGATGAACTGCACTTTACTGTTGTTGCTTTGGCAAAAGTCTAAAGCTGTACCATCATGAAGGTTAAACATGAACAAGTTCCTCTTTTTACCTTAGTCACTGACAAGTTCATATATGATTGTAACTGAAGTATATCAGACCCTGGGTGTGTATGTATGTATTTTGGGTGGGGATTATAGAGGACCTTTTCGCATTTCTCAGTCCCCTAATGGACCTCATATTCAATTTGATAATTATTGAAAAACATTTGCCTTATGGATTACAGGATGCTTTGGCAGAATGAGCAGTTCCAGAAAGGTATCTCTGACACCTTCTAAATTCAGAAGGATTAAAATCATCCTCTTCCATCTTTTGTTTTCTCTTGCCCTCCCCATCTCTGGGAAATAAATTGAAGGTCTAGAATTGCAGCATCCTTCATCTACATGTTTTTTCGAAAATTAGSTTAAAACCCCCAGAGAAAATGTTGAGCAGGAAATGTTAGTTTGTGTTTAGTGTTATCCCTGGCTAAATTTATAAAATGAGGTTTTTATTGACTGAATATAAGGACATGTCAGTGACCAAGGGAAATGAAAGGACTTGTTCTCAGTCTGCTTTCTAAACATCATTGGAGCCACATGCTGTTTAACTGAACTTCAAAAGCACTAGTCTAGCAAATCTACAAGTTATCAACATAGGCCTTATAACAAAAGAAACCTGTCTTTATGTTGGAATTACCCCAAGTTAGGGCTTGGTATAGAATTCTTTATTTTCATATTGTTCTAGGTATAGAAGAAAACTATTTAAATATTGCACACTTTCGTGATGATGATAATATATGATGATGACACATGATGATGGTACATGATGGTGATGCGTGATGATGATACAT